CTAGTTTTTCTTTTTTCTTCGCCCTAATTTTCTCAACAAGTGGTATCAGAGATAGGCTCAAGGTCAGAGAAGAGATCGGCGCAGGGAAATAAACAAAATTAGTAATAACAAAAACTTTGGTAGACAAGTTCTGCGACGGAGGAATAGCAAGGCAAGGGGGAGCAGGGAGGGAGTTCCGACCGAGAGAATTCGGTTGGCGACAGAGAGCTTCGCGCGCGGGACAGAGAGATCGTGAATCGCAGGAGTTCCAGACGAAGTCGTTCGGACGACTTCGGGGAAGGAGATTTGGAATTCGGGCAAAGGATTCCGGCTTCAGGCCGAAAGTGAAGTTCGGAGTTTGGCTTCGACAAAGTTCACAGGAGTTTGTGATGGTTTGGATCGCGATATAGGAGTTCGCGTGTGGAGGACTCCTCGGCGACGGGCACACAGGTGAAGTCGCGACAGCGGTTGCTGTTGGCTGAAGATCGGGAAGATCGCGACGCAGCAGAAGGAACACAAACGCCGGAGCACTGTTCCTGTTCGTGGATCGCGGCGCTCGCAAAAGGGAACAGTGCAAGGAAGGGAATAGTGCAGACGGGATCCAGAAAAGGGAAGGAGCGAAGGGCAATAAAATAATTCGGAACTTTCCTTTTCTGCCCTGGAATATTCTGCGGAGAGAAGAGAATAAAGGAATCATTTATTTCTCCTTTATTGATTTTCCTTTTGCTGCCTTGCGTTTTGAAAGGAAATTTTTTGGAGGCCATTTCATCTACTATTGTTTCCTTTGTCGAGCTGATTCAGAAGATTTGTTGGAAATCTGGGCGGAAATCGCTAAGGAATTTCTAATTTTATTCCTTTATCTGCAGGGAAGAAATTTGAAAAATATATTTTTCAGATTTTCTTGGAAAAAAAAAAAAATTGGAAGGAAAGCAGAGCGGAGTAATTGGAATGTGATTTTCTTTCCTTTACTTGAGCCGCGAAATATTTTCTTTTGGTGGATTTCCTCTGTTGGATTTGAGGAGATTTCTGGCACGATTTCTGGCAGGATTAAAATTGTTCGCAAGGCAGACAGGCTCGCGGGAATGAACATGTGCAAAGCAGTTCAGATAAAGGGCTGCGGCAGTTCGACGAGTTATGCTTCGGGAAGTTCGCGGTAGAGGTGGCGTCGCGACAGTTCATGAACCTTCGCGGCATCAGGCGAGGTGGAGTTAGCGAACAGGAGTTCGTGTGCAGTTACTGCGAACAGGAGCATTTGCGAACAGAAGAGTTTGGTGATGTTTGACCAGCGGAGTTCGCAGATTTGTCGCAGGAATTGCGGCATGTGCAGTTGCAGCGGAGTTCGCAGGTTTGTCGCAGGAGTTGCGGCAGCTGGCTGTCCTTGAGGAGTTAATTAAAAAGGAATTTCTTGCGGTGTTAATTAAGAAGGAATTTCTTGTGGAGTTAATTAAGAAGGAAATTGCTTGTTACTGGGAAAGTTAATAAAGCAAAGTTTAACTAAGGAAATTTCTTAATTAAGCTCTAAAAGGAAAGTATTTAATCAAGGGAACACTGTTCTGGTCCGTGAAGAAGGCATTTCTGAGAAACTTAATTAAGAAAATTCCTTAATTAAGGGAAAAGATTTTCTTTTTTTTTTAAAAAAAAGGAGGTTTAAGCAAGGATTTTTTGCAGAGGATTTTTTTTTTGCAGAAAAGTTTTTGTTGCAGGATCAAAATTGTTCGCAAGGCGGACGGACTCGCGGGAACGAACAGGTGCGAAGCAGTTCGGATAAATGGCTACGGCAGTTCGGCGAGCTATGCTTCGGGGAGTTCGCGGTAGAGGCGGCGTCGCGATTTTGAGGCGCGACAGTTCATGAAACTTCGCGGCATTAGGCGAGGTGGAGTTCGCGAACAGGAGTTCGTGTGCAGTTACCGCGAATAGGAGCGTTTGCAAACAGAGGAGTTTGGTGGTGTTCGACCAGCGGAGTTTGCAAGTTCGTCGCATTGCGACAGATGGAGTTCGGTAGGGTCCTTGCGAGCGAGTAGACGCGATTATTCATGAAAAGTGGTTTCGGGGAGGTATTTCGCTAAGGGTTTCGCTCACGAGACAACAATTTAGCCGAGGTGCTGGCGCAAACAAGAAAAGTGCTTCAACCCACATTTGTGCATAAGAAACTCCATGATATTTTTCTCCTAAGGGTCTGGATATTCTCAAGGTAGAGATTTTCTCCTAAGGGGCAGGATGTTCGCAAGGTGGGGATATTTTTCCTAAGGGGTTGGATATTCGCAAGGTGGAGATTTTCTCCTAAAGAGCGGGATATTCGCAAGGTGGAGATTTTTCTTCTAAGCGGAAGAATCTGTCCAAACCGGGAAGTTACGTTATGTGGGTTGGGGGTGTTGGGTCAACGCCCCGCTATACGGTACATGGGTAATTTGGGAATTACATATTGTACTGCAGGGCTTACTCTAGGATTATAAATAGATCTGTTTGTAATCCTAGGTCTTCGAGAGAGAGTTGAATTTTGTATTCTGTATTCTTTTCTGAATATTGAAAAGAAGGTCGCCACTCTGCTCCCGAGGATGTAGGCATCTTTGCCGAACCTCGTTAAATCTCTGTGTTCTTCTGGTTTGTGTTGATTCTAGTTTTTCTTCGCCCTAATTTTCTCAACATCCTTAATCAATCTTAGTGATTTAATTTAATTTAAAAACTATTTGCACTTTTATAATTAATAAAATACTATGTCGTAAGAGAACATGTCTACAATCTATGTAATTTCACATTGCAAAATGAAGCTATTCTATTCTATATTTAAATTACTCTTATTATTATTATTATTTGGTGCGTATGATCTTTAAATTAATGGGCATTTACCTACGTAGCACACAATTTTTATGCATTGACATATCTCACACCTAAACATTCATATTTACATATAAATCACTCAAATCTTTGATATCACATCAAAACAAGCACTAAAATCACTTTTTTAAAGGTGATGTATACCTGATTCATGCATAGTTTTAAATCATCAAAGTGCTATGCATGTAAATATGAAATTTTAGTTGTATGATATGTAAACACAAAAGTTGTTTGCTATGCATGTAAATTTTTATAAATACTTTCTAAAAATCATTCACATGCACAAATTAAAAACTGCACAACCATCATTTTCATGATGACAATTTGAAGCCCCTGACTCTGGTGCAGACCCTTTAGGCTTGGATTCGAACACAAATCCAGCTCCAGTCATAATGACATCTTTCCCCAATCAAAACCCTAGCCGCTTCCGCACCCCTGATAGCCAGAAAACACCGCCGGCCATCAGCAACCAAGCAAAGGAAAACTGCATGGGTTTCAAATTTACATCCATACTATCAATTTTTTATATTTTTGCGTGGCATGTATACATGCCAATCATTATTTAATTGCATATATGCCACTTAAGCTGACCCCCTTTGGACTCACAAGTTATAGAATTTTCTTTCAAAAATAGGAAGCTTTACATATATACCACTCAATTCATATATATTTACATACCAAAACACAAAGCTATAAACCAAGGCTTATTTCTATTTTGGGCATTTACATGCATACCTCACAAATCTGTTTATATTTACATATTTAACACCTAAACTTTTCTATTTGCGTGCATAGCACTCAAATCTTTTATATCACTTAAAAAAGTACCACAATTATTTATTTTTTTTTCAAAATAAAATACTTTTTTTTTATGCATAGATTTGTGGGACCAAAATGTCATGAATGTAAATTTTAAAACTTAGATGTTAATATGTAAATAGATATGATTGTGTGATATGTATATAAGTTTGGAAGATTTACATACACATCACTCAATTCTTATGCATTTACATATCTAGCCAACACCTAAACTTCAATTCTTAATGTATTTCACTTTTAAAAATTAAATTAATTGTGATATTTCTTTGTTGTGATATGAAAATTTGGGGTGGTATACATGTAAGAAAATTAAATTTAGATAATAGACATGTAAATGCAAAGGACTTGTGTGGTATGTAAGTAGATGCCCCTATAAATTGTTTTGCTTATTTTCTTATGGTGGGCAATATCCATCACCACCTCCAGGTCCATGGTGACACTTCGTAGGGTCTGACACTGGTCCCCCCTTCGGCTTGGACTCGTACACTAATCCCGCCTTAATCATGATTATTACTCGTTCCTCTTCCAACGTTCTCCCAGCCTCCACCGTCCGCAGAACACAGCTCGCCATGAGCAACCATGTAATAAAAACCGACCAGATCAAAAGTCTGAAACTTCTCTTTGTAGAAGCCATGGGAATTGCTAACTTTATTACTTACAAACTAATAGATATGTATATGCAGATTGGTACAACCGAACTGATCAGTCTAAGGCAGATCGATCAGTGACATTCTACAAATGTAGAAGAAAAAATAGTTTTTAAAACTATTGAAGCATAAATAAATTTCTAAAATTGAAAAAACATAATTATAATCGTATAATTACTTACCCCAAATGTGCAAGAAGTTAATTACCACTATAAATCTTTGATTTCATGCCTCTCACCATTAAAAGCATAGTTAAAAGGTTGGTGCCTGCAAAGAATAATGAATGAGGAATGCCGAAATCTCTTGCTGGTTGGATTGCCCTACCAAAGTGCGAAAGCAAATGACACGTTAATCCAAATTAATATGAATAACAAAAGATGATTAAGATAATCTCCTATTTAATATTATGAAAGGGAAGGATAAATGAGGGAGTATGAAGCATAAATAAGAAAGCCAAAAACAAAAAAAAAAATAGAAAATTAATTGAAATTTATAGTTATATTATTCAAACTTCGGTTTTTGATCTATCCAGATGTGTGAATCAACGATCAATCCAATATAACCGAATATCAAATATTTTTTGATATTTTAAGCAAAAATTCGAACTACTAATTTAAAAATAGAATTAAATAATCTAAAAATATTCAGGTCGGTTCATTTTCAAGTTATTTTGATAAAAATGTCTCCCAATGATTATCTATTGAATGTATCTCACCTTTGTCTGCGGCAAGGAGAAGTGAACCTAAGACAAGAATGAAGCACAATTTAGTTACAAGAGATCAGCTAGAGTTAGACTGCCTAGTTTTACAATGTAAACATAAATTAAAATAAATAAATAAAATGTTTCAAAATGGCTCTAAAGTGTTGCGCAAATAGTGGGAGAAACAAAATTGAGCGGCAAGAAGGATGGGTGAAGCATTCATGAATTGAAGTACTTGACTAAATCACTTATTACTTTACATAAAAAAACATAAAAATTATCTAATTAAGTAGTTGGTTCACTATAAGAATTTACGTTTTTTTTCAGATAGTCAAAATTCGTCGATTATGATAAGAAAAATTATCATTTTTAATGTTACTAATGATTTTAAGCTCGTAGGTAAGACGTTTGTCAGTAATTTTTATAGGTTTTTTTTTTGAGAAAATTCGGTTATTCACCGGGGAAATCGCTACCAATGTTCGCCTTAAGCCACGTTGCGGATAGGGCATCCCGAACCAAACTTTCTTGTAGTGCACGTAAGAGTACTCCATGACTTCTCTTGGTCATGGGAGGCTCTAAACAAATGTGCAATGACTTCTAAAATCCAGAATGGGCACCGAATGTCTCATGCCCTGAATGAGCCCCATTTTATATCAACCCTAACTTTGTTCCCCAAACAAGTGCTAAAGAGTCTTGGATGTGTGTCTTGAGGTATGGGAAGCAACAGACGAACCGTAATGGGAAGCAACAGACGAACCGTAGACTATCTCAAATTGTGAAGGTGTGTTAGGGCTGGAGCCCGATTTCGACACCCCTGCCTGCTCTTATTCGCGAATCGACGCTTCCTGCTCCCGCTCGGCTCCCGTCTCCCGCACGCGCGAAGCTTCGCGTCGCTTTGCCCGTTACTCCTTTGTCGCGAAAGGTCGCGACTCCTCCCAACTGGGGCCAGGAGAGGTTATA